AAAAAAAAATGCTGCCTTTCAAATGAAAACCTTTACGTTTTTCCACTTGGGTGTGGAACCTTTATCGTAGATGGGTTGCTGTGACCTCGTGGATGCTAAGAGATTAATGTGCTCTGTTGTTAGTTTGGGCACATAACAGGTTTGTTGTAAACTGGTTATTCTAGCCCAGGTGTGTCAAACATAAGACCCAGAGGACTATATTAACTATATTTTCTTAAGAGCCGCCACAACCGTATCTGCAGTTTTACCCATATATTTCTTACAAGTCCAAAGAGCCTTTCTGAACTTCTTTCATTTTCTACAGCAACTTATCTGTGATGCAGAAAAACCTGAATTATAGAGGGCCTTAATTTGTGCAGCTAAAGTTCTTTACACTAACTGGGAAGGGAAGCTTCACTGAATGCTGCGGCAGTTGTCGTTTGGCGCTATGGAAAAGAATGAATTGGTCCAACCCACTTAAGGTCAAAGTGGGCTGCATGTGGCTGAGATGAGTTTGACATCCCTCCACTAACCCAATACTGAAACTGAACGGCTTGTTGGAAGATTGACTTGTTTTTTGTTTATCTGAAAAATGTATTTAGAATTACTCATATTTTAAGTCCAGCCAATCCTGCTTACCAAGTCTAAAATGTCACACATTCATATCAAGTCTTCTTGTTGTTGGTTGCAAGTCGTCACATACTCACAACACTGAAGAACATTTCATAACAGAAACACGACAACAACAGAAAAACCTGAAGAAAATAAAACATAATGCGTATCTGAAAGGTTACCATCATCTTTTGGGACATTTGTGATAAAGATTTAATAAATGAATGATGAATTTAATAAATGAAAACACCATTGCAAGAAAATGTATCGTATCAGCTTCTGCAGGAGTCTTTGTTTACTGTCTGATTCTAGTTAATCTCAAAACATCCACCAGATTCAGGGTGACCGTAGAGGGCCGGTGTCCACCTGAATTCAATTCAATTCAGTTAAATTCAATTTTATTTATATAGCGCCAAATCACAACAAAAGTCGCCTCAAGGCGCTTCATAGATACAGAGAAAAACCCAACAATCATATGACCCCCTATGAGCAAGCACTTTGGCGACAGTGGGAAGGAAAAACTCCCTTTTAACAGGAAGAAACCTCCGGCAGAACCAGGCTCAGAATCAAATGATTAGTTCATTACCAGGCCTCTGGAGAACTTCAAGACATGTTGAGGAGGTGTTGAGATCAAGGACACATTTAAAACCTTGAGACCTGAAATTGCCCACCCCTGGTCTAGGGTTAGGGGTTGGGTTAAAGCCCACCCCTTTAAACAACCAAACAGAAAAGCCTTTAAAAAAAACAAATATTAATAGGTTTAAAAAAAAGGATGCTTTAATTCTTGGGTTTTTCTACCAGATGATAGTTCTTTGAGGACCTTATTTGTAGAATTTAGGAGTAGTATGTAAGTGGGAACTTTTTGTGTGCACATACATGCAAATGTACCAATTATATACTACTCACATGCGTTGAAGTGTGCAACTATTTTTTCTTCCACATTTTTGTGGGGATATTTATTGGCAAAGATAATAAAAGACACCCAGAAAGTTCTTTTAAAGTTACCAGCACCAGGGTCAATCCGTTTGGAACTCGGGAATACAGGTGTAGAATGAATTATATGAAGTGAAACTTGTTAGAGTTAACCTTTAACCAAAGGTTGCATTGACCTGATAAAAAGGGATGCAGATGGGACTTTCAGAATATCTTACACAGCGGCCTGAAAATCCAAATGGGGTCTCAGTGGTCACGGGGATTACTGCTTTGGAAGGCAAATCAGTTCTATAATTGGTTATGTGACTCTGGAGGAGCCTTAGTTTAAAAAATGTATGCTGATGATGTCCAGAGGGTTGTTCCATTCAAGTTGTGGCTAATGAATCATTCCCATGTAGCCTTGTAGTCAGTACAGATTTCTTAAATTAGATCTTTTACATATTTGGATTTTTTTTTTCAAAAAAAAGTTTTGTTTCAGTTGTGCTTTGTGTGAATGTCATTTATACAGTGATGCAGCAAAGATTTTTGTTTTTACGAAGAGACAATGTTGCAAATCACCAGTTTTTTGGGGGGAAATCTACCTAACGTTAGTGCCAGTCATTATGCAATTATTCCAACCATCCACTAGAGTGTGCTCACACTCAGTCAGCAAGCCAGGAAAGTGACTGTTGCCCCAACTTCTTCACTTAAAACTGAAGGAACTTGTGTGTCTTCCTTGATAGGCAGAAATATGGTAATTTTACTACATTGCTGGTAGAAACTAGTACAAAAATACAATAAATTAAAATCTAAGAAGACAAGAGAGTTAATGTAAGAGCTTTCCTAACTGTGGATCGAGAGGGATTTGTTGCTTTTTCTATTGTTTTATCCATTGATTTTGTGGATATGTTATTGGAAATTGGGTTGGCTGTTCTCAGAACTGATTGGGGATTAAGAGAAAGTAGGAAGAGAGACCATGACAGGGCAAAGAAGAGAAGTTCACCTTAGATTCCTTATAGCAAGATGTCTCTTGCCCCACACAGAAACACTGCAGATAACATTTCTCAGTATTTTTCCCTGGCACACACCTTTCTTTGTCTCCAACATGCTAAAACTGATAAATGTTGATAGGGCGGCATGAATGAAAGCTGTGCTGCCAGCTTCCTTAATAAGGTCCCTGCCTATTGGCACAGATGTACAGAATCGGACCCAGAGGTGAGAGGAAGATTAAAAACAACTTTAGCACAACAGTGACACAGCAAGAAGGTTTGAGTGTTATTTTTTGATGCCTTGTCAGAATGTTGCTCAGTATTGCTCAATATCGGAGTACCAGACAGAGCAAGATGTTCTTTTGATATGTCTAAGCCACCCACAGATGTCGGGAAATTCATAGAAGAGGCCTAGATTTTTGAGAAATGCATGACTGGTTTTAAATTGAAAAATGAAGAGGCTGGGATTAGTCAGATTTTACTGTAATATAAAGCTAGAGTCAGTTTCCTGGTAGCTTCCTTTGGCATATACACTATAGGTGTGTAGGTGGGGGTGGCTGCATATATAAGAATCAGTCCATTTACCATTTGTAAATGAGGGGCCACAACATTAAACCACTGAAGGGGACAAGCACTGATAATCTTGTTGCAATACAAAGTTTTGGAAGAAAACCTTGGGTCCTAGTGTTTGTGTCGGTGCTTACACCCTACCTAAACATTTTTGGCCAAATTCCACTCGTTACTCGTTGCAACGTTGCTACTCGGGGTCAATGCAGACCACCACTGCAAAAATATACCCAGAAACTGTTTGAGGTTTGCCAACATATCAGCCCAGCCTGCTGTCAGGACGGAGTAGACATTACTCTCTGACTCAACTCATCTTGTGACATGGACGGAGCCACAGCCTGTTGCCCTGGTTCAACTTCACCTAATATTGCCGCAGCACAATGTGTAGACTCCTTTGATGTAGCATCACTGCTGTTGATATTTCACATTCTGTTGACAAGTTTAGTTAAGTGCTTTTTCTAATCACTGTCCAGAGATTGCCGATCTCTTATTTCCCTAAAGGTCGCCCAAGCAGATGGATGATGATATGAGATAATGTGTAGATAATGTGTGTGTATATATATATATACTTTTTTTTAATGCCATCAGCTGATATCTCTTCAACCAAACATGCAGATGTTTGCTAAAGATGCTGAAGTCAAAGTTGTTTCTTTGGATTTTGTTTTACTTCACCAGCCTGTTGCTAAATTCTTCAAAATACTTTTGAAAATTTTTGTACAAACCAAAGGTCTAATGTCAGCCAGCTGAT